AAATCAGTTGTTTACTTAAAACAGTGTGGGACTACACGAATTTGTTAAACTTACCCAAAACAAACAATATTTAAGAGCAAACAACTCTTCTTTAACCTATGTAAGATCAACTTTGGACCCTTTTTTGCAGATTGGACGTTGACAAAGGACGGTTGGACATCAGCCTACACATCCCGGTGATCCGTACAGAGTCAAAATACGACCTTAGAGGAAACATTCTGCTGCTGCCCATAGTAGGGGTGGGGGACGCAAGACTGCTGCTCAGTAAGGACTACATTGGACACAGCTCTTAAACTTATAAAACGTTGATAGTAATGCTTATTTATGATCCAAATTTATAGGATATGATTTTACAACTGATTAAGGTGTATTCAACCCAACCAGAATTTACCTATTGTTTATTACCAGAATTTTAGTAGGGGTAAGATGATGACAGTGAGGACGGATGAGTTTGTACTACTAATGTGTATTACAATTATGAACTCAACTGTAGTCACACCACTTTACGATGTTTTTCGATCTATTCTAGTTTAGTTTACGTTGGCCTTTACAATATTAGATGCACTGTATGATAGGTTTTCAAAACATATTCTCACTTATTCGTTGGTTTATGCCTACATAATGTTATGATAATGACTAACCAAGACTGTCCATCTTCGTATACAATACCACACAATACCCTGTCTGTGTGTATTCCGGAATACTCGCTTTTTAACTAAGTCTAAATTGCTGTTTTATTTGCTATATAAATTACCAATCATCCGGTAAACCACTATGTAAGCTTATGGGATCTTAAACGTATAGCATAATTAAGGTAAAGGTCAGTACATGAACATGCTTGGTCCAAAAATCCAACGGATAACCATATCTACTTTTAATTTTAATTTTTATAATATATGACCTACTAACTTTATAATTACTACTAACTTTATTATAATTAGGGAACGTGACAACTGATGTCTACATGAAGGTGGTGTTCCCCAAGCTTCCTACAGGCCAGGAGGTCATGGCCGTAACTGATATGAAGGTGGACTTCCGAATGTCCAACGTGAGAGTCCATCTGGACAACCTCTTCAACGGAAACAAAGTTCTGGGTGAGGACAGTAAAATATACTAAGTTTCACAACCAATCCAAGTTACATGCATTTAGACGCGAAAGATTTATAAAAAAATTGGCGGAGAATCACATTCCATTGCAACTTTTTCCTGCTCAGACGGTGAATTTACCAATACTTGACAAACCCTTGACACTAAAGAAAATTAACTTCCTATGCTCTTTAAGCCAAACCGAGAATACATATTTATATGTCACGTTTCTGAAGATGCTTTCTAATCATGTTCCAAACCCAAATCACATACAGTTTTCTCATAGAGCATTTGACTAACACTCTCTCTTCTCCTCTGAAAAAGTTCCACTGGCCTAGACAACAAAAAACTAGGTAATTAAATCATTTATCATGTTCTGAGAAGACATTAATTATCTCTATACTTTAAAATTTTTGTTTAAACTTAGACAAAAAATATGGATTTTCAGTTTTAAATTTACAAAATGTATCAGAATGAATTGGAGTTACTTTCTCAGTACTCCTGCGTTCTTTCAACAATCGGTAGTACGAAATATTGACAGGTGTATAAAATGTGTATTTTAGTAGTCAGCTGTACCAGCTTTATTTCAAGGTACAAAACATACACACGGATTCGAAAAATCTTGGTGTTGAATTATTCAAACAGTGTGTTGACTGGAATTTGATTTAGCAAGTAGTAAAGCATTACAGCCAGCTTGACTGAAAGACATTCAATGTTTACAAACAGCTGTTAATGAATTACGAACTTTATGGTGCGAGCCGAGTAAACAGCAAACTTCTCTTAGAACAGGAAATCTGTGTTCTCATCAAATTATCTGGCCAACGAATGTAGACGTGAATTTTAAAGTTGAAGGAGTAGTTTCAGATAACGCCTAGAGAGTTAATTGCGTTAGTAAGAAGTAATAATGTTTGTAGTCTTAGAAATGTGGTAGTTATTTTTCACGCAAAGAAATACAACCGGTTACTTAACTAACTAAATTATAACTGACGTAACTTTCTGCTGAAAGAGTTTGAACAATTCGAAGGGAAATACAGGAATTCAGAGCTAGTTAGAATTTGATACAGAACACAAATTAAATGAGTATGAAAACTCCAACGAATATTCATGGTACAAATAATTGTAACGTTAACTATATTTGTACCTACTTCAGATATAAAAAAACGAATAAGATAAGGTGAAAGGTATACCTTAAGCCCAACATTAGAAGAAAACTAATTTACAAAGTTACAATTTTGGTAGTTCTTTTTGAATATATTCTTTTCAGTATATTCTTATATTTTGTCAATAAAAAAGGTACTACAGGTTAAACTTGAAAACACTTATTAAAATATTAACTAAACAATATTTGACATGCAGGCTAAGTTAAAGATAACAATTAAATATCCAGAATAAATAGTTTATAACATCGTAGAAATTGTGTGAGCGAACTACAACAAAGGTTTGAAATTATTCCCAATTTACCTTAATATCCATTTTACACTTCGTGGAGTTCCAATAGCGTATTATATTCTTGAAATTCGTTCCTAGATATTAAAATAATCACTCAACGCTCACTCATCATTTAACACCAATATAAGCTTCAAAATTGCTGGAATATTAATTTATAAGCTCTTTCAAATTTGTTTTAATACCCAGAACGCGTTTACCCGACCCAGTTTCCACTGCAATAGTTAATTAACAAGATACAGTATAGGATTTGTTCGAGCTCCACCCATGCAATAACCAATTCGGCTTAGTTTAGTGAGTAGTTAACGCTCAACGCCTTTCTAGAACAAACCAGAATGTAAATACTGTATCTAGTTTGTAACTAATGAATACTTGTTTAAATCATTGAATATTGATGAACTAACTTCAAACGAAAGTACATTTACATGTTAAAATGTAATGTAAAAATATCACGGTGGAAACTACTGCATTTAGCTTAACACTTTGTTATTGGTTTTCGATTAGATGTTTTCTGTTCTGCATTGTTGTTACTCAATCGACTGCAAAGGTATTTAGGTAGCTAGGTATTTTTCTTCGTCTATTTATAGATTCAGGAAAAATATTATTTAATAACTATACATTTATTAAAACTTTGTAATCCCTTTCCATGGAACGATCTCTGATCCAAATACTCTTGGATCTGCAAGAAAATACTTTACCATTAGAACACATTATTTTTTTAATAGGTACGTCGGGATTAGGATTCCCATATCTTCAATGGAGGTTTGGAATGTATTTTCATTTTTTTCAAATCCACCAATATTCTATTACGTTTTCAGATAACAATATTATTATCTACATAATTCAGCTCTGTTGTTTATTTAGATGTGTCTCTTGTGCAGATTTTTAATTTTAGTAAACTTAGTGTAATCTACCATGTAGTTTTGGGTTTTTTTCATTGAAATTTAAAGGTTAACCAGTTTATTGAAAAATTAGGTGTTTTGAGTACAGCTAAATTTAAAAATGTAGATCACGATTCTTAGAATTAAAAATCTGTACAAGAAAGGGAGACATCTGAATAAATGGTACAACAATGTATAGGTATCCAACTAAATTCTGACAAGAGTAGGAGCTGTCAAGAGCTGAGTCCAACTAATATCATGTAGTTAATGTAATACCGTATAATCTCCTCCTGCTAATTACCCCTTATCTTCTCTAATCTCTACGCATGTATGTAGGACACACGGTCAACAATTTCCTCAACAAGAACGCTATGGAGGTGGTAGACGAACTGAAGGACAACGTTGGAGACGCTCTGACGGAAGTCTTCAAGAAGATTATGAACGATGCCTTTGGCCGAATCCCCACAAAGTTTTGGCTTCCAGAGGACGATGATGTCAGTGAATAGTTGCCTACCCTTCCTGTACATACCTCTAAACATTTAAGTGTTAAATATATTTTTTTGTTTTTTGTAACTTGTTATCTGTTTGCCTTTTTCTTTGGTGTATAGGGGCCTCGAGGAATGTGCTCTAAATGATTATGAGATTTAATAGTTTATCCTCAGGGACTCTGAGGTTTATCCTAGGACGATCCTACCCGAAGCGAAATCGTTAAAATTGCTGTGTTAAACTGTATTGATAAATGCATACTAGGACATGCATTTGGGTAGTTGATTTATTCGGGAAAATAAGAACGAGCAAATCGATTACAAGAATTATGTTCGCATGAATGTTCACCAATGAAATGCACGTAGTGTACAAAATCATACTAATTAAAATGTTAGCTACTGTCTATAAAATTACTTTTGAAACAAGGAGACTGGCATTCCTTCTGCCCAAAATTTGTATTTTAAATCAGAATACTCTTAATTTATTGTCTGGAACAAACTACAATTCTTAGAATTAAATTGCTGCATTTAATATCTTTAGCAGTGATTGTTTGCTTTTATATTTCTGTTTTTTCCTATGTATTACGGTCCTTAAACTTTTGTGAGTGAGAAAGTAAGTCAATTTTTCCAAATTAAAAACAGAAGTATTATTTTCTTGTAAAAAATCTTACCCATGTGTGCAAAAATCCTACCGCCTAGATGGATGTATGAAAAAACTATTAGATATTGAAAGTGGAACTGAAAACGCAGCTTTTGTGTAGAATCTGAAACCATAGATCAAAAGTTAGTTACTAACTATTTAAGCAATTTTTTTAATCATGTAAGGCTAAAAAGGAGGATTAATTGTGTTAGGCTTTCTACAAAGAGTCGTAAAAATACTCATCCACTCCCCCAAATGTCATTTTAATATTATATTTCAAAAGTTAACTAAGTTGTGTGGCCCATTAAGGTTTAGCTGGATCAAATTTTTTAGCTGGAAAAGAAACAACTTCCATGTGCAATCTTTCTCCACTAAACAGATCAATAATAACGAGAATTAAGGGATAAACAAAATTTTACCCTTCAAACACAATTATTTGTGGTATAAGTATATTCATAGAAAATACATTTACAGCACATATTATCCTAGTTTACTCTAACACTCTTCGTAAAATATACATACCTTACATAAATACAATAAAGCTTACTGTACAATAAGATTTCATGATATTAAACAGCTGATGAAAGTGGAACATTAATGCCTTGCAACAATCGACAAATATTTATTACTCTTAGCCGTAAATAAAAAAAATAAAAAATAGTTATATTTTATGTATTTTTTTCTCAAACCAGATTAGTATTGTTAATGCAACTATGCATTATTTAACTTATCTATTTCCTTTGGAACTCAGTTTATAAGCGTTGAATAGCTCGTGTTTTAGTTTGATTCAACATTAGCAACTAAATATAATAAAAGTATTTAAGCTGAGGTGCAAAAGAATGCGGAAGTGTCTACTTTGAATACGTACATAATGATGAATACGTTGTACCAAGTCATAATGATAGTCAAGGTTGACCTTGAAAAAACACACGTGAGTACAATGACTTGTTGTTCAATGATTTGCAAGTGATAATTCTTGGCATCATTATTATTTCCTTCATCTAATATTATCCGGAGGTTTATGAAAATGTCTACAACAATTCTAGCCACTTTTTTAAGAATCATAACTAATGATAAAAGTAAAATGTAAAGAGAAGTAATGTGAAAGGAAAATCCTCTTTAGGACTCTAAAACATTAAATCTTGGCATTCACTGAACATATTAAAGTTAAAAGAATTTTTAGAGTCACTAATGTATAATGGAAACGCATTAATAAAACATTTTCACTTGGACGCTATGCTTCTCTGCCGGCTATTGCACTACCTTTATTGAATTGCCAATAGCGTATAGTTATACTGTAGTTGCAGAACCTAATGTTTAATCAAACTTTTTCTTAAATTTGTGAGAATATTTCAGAGGGTTGTCTAATTTAATCCCGTGTTTTATTATTTTTTAAATTTCCTTCTGCTCAATCACGAAAAGCTGACTTTCTTATAATTTGTTATTACTGAATTCCTTAATAATTCTGTAACCTATATAATGTTGGCTGTTAAAAAAATTGTTTCAAATTGAAGATATAACCATTTTGGTAAAATGAACAAAATCTTCCTAAATTTACAATTATTAATTTCTTATGCCATAGGACGAAAAATGTATATAAATACTTTTCCCCCTTAGTACAATATAAAATTATATTATAGAGCTCTTTTTGGTCTTATTGTCTCTTCTCTCACAAAATGCATTCTAATCTGTCTATTTATTCTTTCCTTCGTTAGGTCTGTAAGTCCCACAGTCCTGTACATACAACGTTTCGTTCCTATGCGCAGCACGTCATCAAGGCGCCTTCTCCGGTTTGCTCGTGGTGGTGGATGTAGCATTGGCGGGTGTGTCAGGGTAGATGTACTCGTAAGGTACCAGGTCTGCGATGTTGGTCAGTAGTAGTCGGAACACCTCGCCTATAGCTTCTCCTATAGCCGGGCCGAGCTCTTTGGTCACCTCTCGCCAATTTTGGTTGAGGAAGTAATTCATGTTTTCTCCTATAAAATAATGGTTGTGAGATGTGGTGGAAAGGGATGGTTAAAAACTGTTCTTAATTCTATTATTTCAATTATAGCTGGGAATCGCAATAATGTAGAGAGATGCCATGTCATGTATTGCTACTGAACTCTTATAAAAATAGAGTAGTGACTTTTTAACCCACAAAGAGAGAGGCATTTTTCATTTTAACCAGAATTGTTTTATCATCACTTTAGGCTAGGAATAGTGGTTTCACTTGGATAAAATCCAGTGGTGATGGACGGGATTTAAACCCGGGACCTCAGAGACCGAAACCCCGCGCTCTACCAGCAGACCAGCTCGCTCCCCACTCACTTTTACAGTTTATAGTTATTGACAAGAAATAGTTAGAAGAATTCAGAATTGACCGACTTACCTAACAGTTTGTCCCCATTGAAGAGGTTTTCCAGGTAGAACGATGCTCCCCCGATGTCAAAGTCCAGACTACTTTTGGTAAAGTTCATGTAGTGTTTGGAGCCTTTCTTGTTCAGAACCCAGTCATACTTGTATGTTATCGTCAGATCATCTGTAACATGTGTATTGTGTTGAAGACCACATTAACTTCTTGATGATCATTGCTGCGTTAGTATCTGTAGTTCTAATTATTCGATTATAGTTGGTCTCTTCAACCAATATCAATTTTCGCTAGTGTTAAGGTTGCATACAAAATACATTTATTTTTGTAAAATCCTGAAAGGCATGGAGTTAGATGATGTTACGCTCATTCAATATTTTGCTTTACTTTAATGTCCGTGCTCCTTCAATTTGTATAGTAATAGCATTGACTATGAATCCGTAATAGCTTCACCAATTACTTTTATCCTACGAAAATTCTTTAGGAAAACTCTCATGTTATCAGACTCATATAATCCTACGTACGGATCATAACATAACTTGTGGTCTCTGAAACCAAAGGTATCTAAGCTAAATAAACGTTTATTCTTAATATTTTATTTGGAATACGATTATGTAAAGTTTATAATATTTTAAGTAAGTAAACAATGTAAATAGCGTAGATGTCTTTCCATTCACTAGGGATCCAATCAATAAATTATTCCCAGAGCACCAATTCACAACGCTTAAAGCTTTGGGACAGAGAATTGGGTCGATAAGGCAACGTACTGGATACCGGTAGGTGATATTTTTAGTTAATTTCTTTCAAGATTCAAGTGGTAGACCTTATTTTTCTCTCAAATAAACAAAATAACCTAAATAGTTTGGTAGAGTGTTAAAATAACTCTAATAAAATCTGTATACTATTGACCAGTCTTTTATAACGTTCCTCAATAGAATCTATAAATCAGTTTACACAATTAAGACGTACTTTATGATTCCTTCAATATCTAAATATCATCAACAATGAATGTTTTGCAACTCAGATAATAGTGATGCAGGAAATGATATCAGCTGCTGATACAGCATGCAGATATGTTGATGAATTCAAACAGCAAATTAAATCATGACCCAAGCGGCGTTTTCTCGTCATATTAGCTAATGGAATAGTATAATGAAGAGACGACCCGTCGTTCTCATCTTAATGCAACACTCTAGGCCTACTGTATGAGATTTACTACGAGATAAGGTTGCTAGGTAACAAGTTTTGCATCGCAATAGTTTTTTTGTTACAAGTTCATTGTGGATGACATAAAGTGAAATATTTCCATAACTGATTTAGTAAAATCATAGACTTCCCATTAGATGTAAAAATTTGAAGCCATGAAAATTTATGAAGTTCAGGCATCTCACCAGAGGGTACTAGTGTATCGGGCTGAATATTAATTACAGTCGATGCAGTACCGTGGCAAAAAGCTGATTTGTTTATCACTTGACACAAAATATTGTCATTGGTCGGTAGACCATCTCAACAGATTGTTCTACGTTTTTTGCTTCAAATTTTAACATCACATATGAAGTCTAGGCTTGGGTTTCAATTCGTTTCAGCATCTGAATCCTGACCCGATCTTCAGGTAGGAAAGCATAGAGTTGAGCTTGAGTTCACCTTTTGTGATTTCATTTTAACTGGACAGTGTCGATTGATAATTTTGCTTTTTGACTACTCTAAGCATATTTTTGGTTTTCAGTTTCTACGATTACCGGTATCTCTTCATGTTTAGGTTCATCCCCGCCACAAGATCGGGTCACATTTTAGATCGCAAAACATATTAAAACGTGTGTGTCTAATCATTTAATTGGAACCTCCGCAATTCCTTAAACAACATAACCATTAGATTGGTTTTGACTAATTCCTTGCCAATGTTATGATTATAAGCGACCTAAAATGTAAAATGTACATTTAGGAAAGTTGACACATATTCATTATTATTATTTATGTAATCTGGGCTATGTAGCCAATAATTTGTTAAATTAAAATAAGTTTTAGTCTAAATGACATTCACTTTCACGATACGAGTTTAAATTAGCTTTCTTGAATTCATATTAATGTGTTCGTAGGTAAAGCATCATTTAAATGACACATGGGTGGAAAGAATTATAACACACCCTGAATTTCGGGCTATTGACGCATTTGATTGGATTTTATTTTATTTCAATTTAATAATTCAACGATCTAACACGACGCGAACAACCCAAAACTTTAGCTATGCAACTACTTGTTCCATTATTACTTATACATTATACTTGTTGTTGTTGATTTATGATATTCTTTTCATTTGCCATCCGTCACAACAATAGTCCAGAATCTAAATAAATTTAAAAATGCGATGACACGATTATACAATTACATTATAAATCTACATTATTCGCTACATTGTGTCAGATTACTACTTTTAAAGAATGAAACTAAAAAATAAAATTGTGTGGTACAATCCTCAAATTTGACTGAAAAAAAGAAAGCAATGAGGGTTAAAATCAAAACTTATTTGAATTCATAATTTTTCGTTAAATCAGACATTGTTATCCTCAATAAAGAAGATCGTCGTGGATTTTTAGTACCAAGACCAACCAAACAATGTTTTCTTATCATTATTTAGATTAAGATTATAGAAGTAATGTAAAAATAAAAAGGTATAGTAATGTAGCTACTAATTGTGATGTTGGCGTGTCCGTTCCCCATGATTGGCAGGATCAGGACCTGGCCAGTGATGTTGTAGATGCCTCGGATGAAAACAGAGGGAAACTTGAAGTCCCACTCAATGTGTCTCTTTTTCAAGTCCGTTCTGAAATAATATTGTAAATTAGAATACGAGTAGGTACATCCATTTCTGCAGTTCAATACCTAAACTAAATCAGAGAACGAATTACTGTGCTTCTGTTAAAAAGATATTTCTTTATTTTCAGTTTTACGTTTTTAGATGATATCTTATTGGGAGTCGAACTAGTAAAATTCTGGGATGACCTTCATCAAGTGTTTCTCACTTTAAGGATGTTAAGCTATCACTCTCTATTATGAGACTACTGGTGGATTAAAACAATTGCAGGATTAACTAGCTTTCCTATATTTGAAAAAGGTTTTTCATAATCTAGGGAAAGAGGGTAACAATATTTCTGATAGAAGATCCCTTGATCCAATGTATAGAAATTGGAAGTGAAATAACTCCTTGTGAAACAATCAGGGATTTTTCCCTCGCAGACAAATTTGGTTAAGTCTTTAAAAGATGGAGATGATTAGGTAATTGCAAAAAGTCAAGTACAATCATTGTGAGGGAAAAAAAGTCTATGAGACCCAATAAGGAACATTGCTTGGTAAAAATAAGTAGCCTATCTTCTTGGGCACTTTTTCTTGGACAATTTTAAGTTATCGGAGTTTCATAACCACGTCACAATAAATCTATAGGAAATTGAATTACTTTCTCTTCATCTAAACCATCACTTGACAATGTAACCCTGAGTACCGCGAATACAACCGGACTTTAATATAAGCCCTACTCAATAACTTAGTCAAATAGTTCCATGGATGAATATGCTAATTATTCCAGCTATGTAGCATGTAGGCCCACAAAGAAAGATATTTTGAGTACCTTGCAGCGATGAACTGTGCATTCTTGAGGCCGTAGATCTTGCACTCTCTGACCATGAGGTTGATGCCGACCTGCCTCGTGCCTTGCCTCACAGCCAGCTGGTCAATCACAAGAGGGTCCAACTTGGGCACTCGGTACTTAGGGTCTCCTGCAACAGGCACCAGCGTGTATAGGGTGGGCTACGGTAGTAACAATATACAGAGTGTCCCGCGAAGAGGTTGTTATCGTGAATTTATGTACCATAAGATGGAACACGATACAAAATTGAATATACACAGCTACGACAAGAATGGTACATTTTAAAATATCACCTCTTAATAATTTGATCATGATCAATCATAATAAAATGGTGGAACAACAAAATATTTGGTGGGTTTTCGTTCAAATGGTGGGTTGATTGACATATGGAATTTGGTCTCGATGTTTGTCAATTGTAGTAAACCAAATTAAAGTAATTAAACAGATAGCATAATGGCAAATCATCAATTAAATTAATTTAACTCATTACATCTTTGAAAATTGATGTCTATGATTAATTAGCTATGCACTACTACGCTAACCATAAATGCTGTTGTTATTTTGTTACTCCACTTTTTTCACTGAATTGTCAAAAGCAAATGTGACTTGATGTTTTTTACGACATTATAACAGTAAAGTTCCAAGTTTGTAGAGTGTTGGGTACGTTTGGTATATTATTTCAAAAATTGCATATCTTTGTGGGACACCCTGTATAATGGTATACATAATATGTAATGGATATATGGCCTGTGGATCGTCCTAATATTGGCAAATAAGGTGAATCTACAGTACCACATAAATGTAGCACATCATCAGGTTATCGTGTCTAGGTAATTAAGAATCACTCACTGAGGAGCAATTTAAAATTTCTGTCAAATTCCGCCATGAGCGACTGAGGCTAGCTGAACAGCTAGCCTAGCCAGGAAAAGGTAGCCCACCTTTCGTTTAGAATAGATATTATAACCTAAAGATGGGTTACCTTTTTCTTAGCACGAAACAGCCGTGGGTCGTTTACATTAGGGCTTTCGGGCCATCCTGACAGCAGCGGAGGCTACTTAAGGGTGTTCGGCCCATTTTTAAAAATATTTTATTTTTAATTTTTTTTCTTACCAATTCATTAAGCTATTATTAAGAATGGAAAAAAAGGGTTTTAAAATTTTTTTCCCCATTTACCAAGTGAGATATAGTGCTTTAAAGTGTACTCTCGTTTTACCATTAAACTCAAGAACGGATGTAGACTGAGACACCAAAAATTACAAAAACCATTGTTTAATGCACCTTAACTACATGAGCTATTTCAATTTTCAAAAAAGTTATAAATAAAAAATGTGACATTTTTTAAACAAATCACTACAATTAGGCGGTTTGTGGTATTGCAACAAAAATTAGGTCATAAGACGGACAACTAATGGAAGTATAAATAAAAGCGCGCGCGGTGGCGACGGGTAGAACTACTGCTCCTCACCTTCAGACTAGCCTAGCGGCCAAACGGCCTTAAACAAAATAATAGGCCTACTAGTACTAGAGTAGCATCAACAACATTCTCTGATACAGTCTCCGAGACTAGAGAACATAATTTTGCTTGTTTAAATAGCGTGTAAATCAGGGGTCTTGTAGTAAGTAACACTGGCAGCACTATGGCAATAATGCAATGATCACTCGATTAGAAAATACTATGAAAAGTTATGGTGAGTGTAGATATTTACGGTTAATCTTGGTGGATCTCCTTCATAAGAAAACTAGTTCTCACGTCAATGAAGTTTGAGCTTAAGACCTACGGCAAGAAAGAGATACTTTGATATATGGCCGTGTTTACACCTTTGTTAAATTATTTATTATTCGTTACTAGTTGTTAACCTTTGTTAAAATTAAAGCATATGTAAATGCATTTAAGTTATTGAAAATTGTTTTCCTCATTTATTTTTATATTTCAAAGGTCGATTGGTAAGGTAATTTTATCACTAAAGACAAATTCACAGAACTCAAAATATCATTTTAATTTAAATTCTGATAAAAACCCACACGTAAATCAATTAAACATTCCCGCAGAGTAACTAATATTTGAATGGAGTTGAAAACTCATTAAGTTCTAAATTGAACTGAAGCATTGTTGTCTGAAACTGAAGCGATTATTCAAAATCTACCAGTAAATGTATTGATTTACCTCATATGTATATGATTATATATAATCTGTGAAATTGTGTATAATGTATACACTTACCGTTGATGAAGTGCGGTATAGCCTGCTGACCGTGTTTGACCACGCAGTCATTGAGATTGGGATCGTTACGACTACATGCTGGAGTGTACCACGCTGCAACAAACACAAACAATTTGATGAATGACATGTCAAAGACTGCCATGCTCCAACAAACACAAAAACGTCTGAGTGTACTATGCTGCAACAAACACAAACAATTTGATGAACTGTACGTTGTGTTATACGTACCAATGAACATAATGCTGCAACAAACACAAACAATGAGTAACACACTGCAATAAACACAAACAATGAGTAACACACTGCAATAAACACAAACAATGAGTAACACGCTGCAATAAACACAAACAATGAGTAACACGCTGTAACAAACAAAAACAATTTTATGAACTGTACGTTGTGACATACGTATCAATGAACATAATGCTGCAACAAACACAAAAAGTCTAAGAGTAACATGCTGCAAGAAACACAAACAATATAATGAATGACAGTCTGTGACATACACGTCAATGAATATCATGCTCCAACAAACACAAAAACGTCTGAGTGTACCATGCTGCAGCAAACAAATCAATGAGGATCATGCTTCAACGAACACAAGCAATTCTGTGAATGACACTCTGTGACATGCACGTCAATGTGAATGTTATGCTCCAACAAACACAAAAATGTCTGACATTGACATGCTGCAACAAACAAATCCATGAGTAACATGCTTCAACGAACACAAACAATTCTATGAATTACACGCTGTGACATACGCGTTAATGAATATCATGCTCCAACAAACACAAAAAGTCTGAGAGTAACATGCAGCAACAAAAACAAACGATTTTTTTATAGACACGTTATGACATACGGCACGTATGTCACAACGTGTCTATAACAAAATCGTCTTGCATAATGAATATCATGCTCCAACAAACACAAAAAAGTCTGAGATTAACATGCTGAAACAAACAAATCAATGAATGAGTTTCGACGAACACAAGCAATTTTATGAATGACGCTCTGTGACATTCGCGTCAGTAAAAATCTTGCTCCACCAACACAAAAGTCTGAGTGCACCATGCTGCAACAAACATAAACCATTTTATCAATGACACTCTGTGACATGCACGTCAATGAAATACAACGTGACATGCTACAACAAATACAAAAATGTCTGATATTAACTTGCTGCAACAAGCAAATCATTGAGTAACATGCTTCAACGAACACAAGCAATTCTATGAATGACACGCTGTGATTTGCACATCAAAGATCGTCATGTTCCAACAAACACAAAAAGTCTGAGATTAACATGCTGCAACAAACACAAACAATTTTTTGATTGACACGCTGTGACATACGCGTCAATGAAAATCATGCTCCAACAAACACAATATAGCTGAGATTAACATGCTGCAGCAAACAAACCAATGAGGATCATGCTTCAACGAACACAAGCAATTCTGTGAATGACACGCTGTGACATGCACGTCAATATGAATGTCATGCTCCAACAAACACAAAATGGCTGAGATTAACATGCTGCAGCAAACAAATCAATGAGGATCATGCTTCAACGAACACAAGCAATTCTGTGAATGACACACTGTGACATGCACGTCAATGAATATCATGCTCCAACAAACACAAGATGGCTGAGATTAACGTGGTGCAACGCATGGAGGTTAACACAGTTACCGTGCTAAAAACATTTAGTTTCTCAACTTTTAAGTAAATTGGGAAATAACGTAAATAAATTAATTACCAACAAACAAAAAAATAACAATATACACACTGATTAACATGCCTCACATTAACCTTATTTTCTTATTATATGTATAAAAAAAAAGATATAATAAATATAATATTAAAAAAAACCTAACAGAATCCATTAGTACGAACTCATCATGTGAAAAAGATCTAGCACAACATTGAATTCTATCTTGTACTGTATTACAAAACTCATAGCTTCATTGGAGCCTGATTATTTATAAATGTGACAACTGGACGTACCTACATTGCAGGTTGCTGCACTAACATAACCGGCGTAAAAGAGCGGTAATAACAGTACAGTGTTTCGTTAAAAAAATAAAACTTGATGTTTCATGTAGCCTACAATGGAGAATGCATAGAATACTAATTGATTTTCATGATTAAACAATTGCAAGTGCAAATACGCTATGAAAATGCATTATTGATTTTCACAGCCAATCTCAGAAAGCAATCAGCGATCTAAAACATTTCAGCCATTAAATATCAGAAGATTGGATTTTATTATCTATTTATGTCACTTTATCCTGAAATCCAAATCCAATATTTATAAATGTGTAAAATGCCTTTTACCTTTTGTGTAAAACACTGTCGTTCTATACACGACCAAAAAAGGTTGTATTTTTATTTCTAGCGAAACACACGGATTAACATGAAATGTGGGCAGAGAACTGTTGGTATTTAACCATTCACTTAGATAATTATTGCATGTTTGAATGCAGTATTTACGATTACACAGAGCTTTAACCAAATAAAAATCAAACTCAATGGCAATATTTGTAGAACGTACCTGTAAATTTATTTGACTTTGTTTTATAACAAAGCTACTTCGAAAAGCGCTTCATTTTAATTTACTGGAACGCATAGCTATCCGTTAGTTACAAGTAAGCAGTACTTAAACATTGTTTCGTAAAAAATAAATGTCTGTGATATCCAGAAATCAAACCCATATAATATTTTTACACAAAAGAAAATTTCCAATAGAGTAACGTTTTTTAATGTTTGTTTATAAACTTGCAACGACATTTGTGTTCGCTTGTGCGCTCTTTAATAATTTTGTTCGTTGACTAGATCTACCGTAAGAATAAACCATACAAATCCTAAGATGAAATTAAAGGCTTTAATTGATCTATTCCCCATTAGACTGTTTATTGAAATACTGTAATGGTAAAATGTTAATTTGCAATAACATACGACATTCATACATACAATATGATTCTTCCTCCATTTACTAAATCGAGTCTTTTTTTTATGTAAGATGAGTCTGGTCATATAGTCGCACGTAAGTCAGTAAATGGGTCTCGGCATAACTCATGTAATGCAAGATGAGCCTGGTCAAATGGTTGGTATGTATGATTTGTACGTGTGTCATTTGAGGCTGGCCACAGCTCATTTATTTAAATTAAGATGACTCTGGTCATATGTTCTAAAAGTGTCAATTGATGTGGACTTTCTTATCCATAAACTATAGGTGGAGTAGCTATTACTCTTCACGAATAGTAGGTAAGTAATTAAAACAGTTGATATAAAATTTGTAGCATCGTAGTCATGAAAAATATAAATATGTAAATATGTATTTGTTGTAAGATGGGTAGGCCTATGGTAATATGGTCTAAATGTGTCAATTAATGGGGCTCACTATAACTCGTGTATTTATTGTAAGATGAACCTTATGTTCTATATGAGTGTCAATTAATGGGTCTAGACATGAATCATATAGCCTAAGTATTGCAAGATAAGTCGGTCCATATGTTCTTTATGCGTGTCAGTTAATATGGCTCGAAATCACCTGTCCTATGTATGATGGGTCTCACCATGTCTCCTATATGCCATGCCTATTTATGAGGCTCGTCATGTCGGTTGGTTCAAGGTAATCTTGCCTCACGTGCGTTACTCATTGGTATTGCGACCACACGGTGTAACTTCTACAAACACCACCAGTCCCGCCAAATTCTCCCTCGCAAATGAACTGTGTTAGTCTGCAATGTACACCCTAATGAAGTACTACTCTTTGTTCGTCCTGTAATCTGATTTAGTTGGGATAGTTCGTAAATAAAAAATAACAAGATGTGTTTGAAAATATATAAAATTACTAACGGTTTGTCTTTTTTGTGGATATGTTCACATTGACTTTCAGAAGTATTTTGACAATTTTGGTAAAGAAAAATTAGACGTTATGTTGTTTTAAGGAGAATTGCAAGAAATGAAAAGTAATTATTTACAATTTATTTCTAACAAACTAAAGAAACTTTATTTAACAAATTAGTTTGATCTTTTCTATTGTGAAATTATTTTTAACTTTTTTCTCTCTGAAAAAGTAAAAATATGCTTATTCCAATTTTATTTCAATCTCAGTCTAAAGCCTTTTTTATGACTCTACGATGGTACAAATTTCATATTAACTGTTTTAATTACTTACTACTCATGAAGAGTAATAGCTACTCCACCTATAGTTTATGGATAAGAGAGTCCACACAAATTAATTCCAGTTCTAAAAAATTTTTAAGAGTCGTTAGCAGTGATTTCAAGCTATAAACTACAAGGTTTTACACAATCTGCACCGTTTTCCCTTTCCCCGTTAGGCCGACAATACAGTAAACAGCGGATAACACTAAACCCATTGTTTTATGAATTCAATTTCACAGACGAACAGAATTATCCGCCAAGATAATATTGCATATCGTTCAATATTCTACATCGTTGACACTTGATAATAATTATATCAACGGCCTAGTCGAGTTCAACTGATTCTTTATTCTACGTTTCTAACATTATTGACAGATCTTTTATATATAGTTTTTGCAAAATTGTTACTGTAACTTGAATTTGGAGTAAATTTGAGTTTTGGAACAATTCCATATTTTTGGGAATGCTAGTGTCGATGTATAGTTAAGTACACCACAATATAGGATATCAACTATACATTGTAAACAGATTATTCAAACCAAGTCTTGGTGCCTCTTGAAACCAATCAATTTCAAAACAGGTGAAAATGCGGTTGGTGCAACACACTAAAAATCGAAGACTCTTCAAGGTCAAACTAATTGGTCGAACAGGTTGGACTGGTGTTTAACAGTTTATATAAACTGTAGAATGCGAGTCGAGCCACTAACTAGGCTGGAGTCGACGAACCGAGATAAATCTGAGGCGGTTCCGTATATGTGAGGCAACTGCAAACCTGCTCAGCCTGCAGATCCACTGCTTGACTCATTGTTACATAACTGAAGTCACTGTGTCAGTTGGTAACCTCAATATCCTCAATTTACTTTCCATTGATCGGCTACACAGCTCTAGGTGGCTGGGGATCTTCAGGAGGAAATGTTCCGTCT